ATAATGAACTGTTAAAACCAAAGCATTTTTACAGAAATTCTACTGGCTTCAGAGAACATCAGTGAAACATCAGTAGAAAGAATGAGTGTTCCTTGCTAATTCACCATATATGTTTATTAGAAGTTGAGATTTTTTAAGATCTGTAGAACAATCCCATTAACTATACTAACTAGGGATAGAGGTCTTGGTACCTTTCAGCACTTCAGTGGATGGTCTTAAAGGATCCAGACCCCCTACAAATGCAAAAATCAGGTCAAGGAATCCCGGGGAATCAGAAGCAAAGCAGATGGCTGATTGATCCAAGTTAAGCAACAAAATTGATTAAAAAATAAAAATGGTAATTTCCAGCAGAAATTTTTTGAAAATCATTCAGAAAAGCAGCATCATAAGAAAGCAAATTCTAATGAGTGAAAAATCTTCAGTGTCACATATGTAATAACTTATAGCCTCAGAGTCCCCCAAACATTGTCTGGCTGTCTTACCTTACATAGGCCCCCTTTTTTTTTTCCCCCCCAAAAAATAAATGCACTTAGGCCTTTAAAATTATACTACTGCATATGTCCAGTGACATCAACATTCTGGCTGACTTCCTAAACAGATTTAAGGAGAAAACAGATACTGAAAATCTAGAAATCAGGTTATCTTTGCATTTAAATTGACATAAACAAGCATGAAAGTGATCCTGGTTACAGCAGTGGTTTCCTTTTGCCCTGATAATAAGTGAATGATTAAGATTGCTCATGGTAATGAGAAGGCAGAGACAGTGATGTCCACTTTTTGACAATGACAGTTTGGAGGTTAAAGGGACTGTCAGGAGGAAGGAAGAAATAGCTAGTGGGATAATCACATTCAAAAGAGTAACTACTTGTTTGTCATCCCTCTCTACACACTTTGGAGCCATCTAACAGTAACATACTACTAGCAGTAGTTTCTATCACAGCTTTTGAGTTGTGCTGAGTCAACTTATTAAAGTCTAGAATTCAGCGATCTAATGAAGTGAGACAGTTCTCCAGTCAGCCTGTTACTTTGATCTGATAACTAATTCTACCTGAGAGACTGAGAGGATCCGTCTGAAACATATCAAATCACAATGGATTTCATATTCCCAAGACGATGCCTAACCTGCCTCAATCAAGTAAGTCACATCACAGTACCTCAGTCATCAGTTGACATCTTCCACAATTAGTCAGCCTTATCTTAGGACAAGCCAGTCCAATTGAACTAAGAATAAAAAAACTTCACATACAATATCTGGGAATGTAATATTTTAGGGCAGCGTATTTTGAGGTTATTATCCTCAGGAAATTCTCCACTCATCAAAATGTTTTCCTCGTGTTTTGTGCACTCTAGTACAAAGCAGCATGAGAAACACCTCAGGAAGAAAATACAGGATTTTTTAAGAAATAAACCATAACAACTAGCCCTTTTAATGTGCATCATTTAAGCATAGTATAATGAAGTATTATGTGATAATTAAGCGTGTGAGAAGTAGTTCAAATATTTTTCTAAAAAGGGAAGCCAGGATATATAGTTTCAGTAATAGTGACAAATGTTGATGTTTCACGTCAGCCATCTTCTAGTTCAGTTGCAGACAGAAATGATACAAAATTAGAATAATTTTTTAAATATGAAATATCTTAACATTTTAAAGTTTTAATTCCAGTTTACAGCCCTTCAGAATTTGTTTTTGTTATTGCACTGTTAACCCAGAGAAGAAAGATGATTATTTACCATGCAAATCATAGATTAAAATGAGAACAGAGGCAACTAAATTAGGAACAGTAAAAACACCTACCAAAAAAAAAAAATTAAACAAGGGTACTATTTGACATGTCTATCTTTAAGATTAATTTTTTGTAGGGTTGCTGGTTTTAGTAGTAAATGACACTTCAACATAAACATAATTTCTTAAACAGTTCTTATTCCTTACCCACAAGCTTTTTTACTTCTGAAACTCCTCTATGCTATGTAACAGATGCAGCACTGTCAGAAAATAAAACACGTCTATTTTTTATTTTGCACAAAGAGCTGAATTGTCATTTCCTAGCTTTTCAGTAGAATATAATGTTGATGTGATTGTAAACAACTTAAATGCAATATCCCATCATAAACCAAATCAGCCAGAACCTCCATCATTTAAAACTATTTCGTGAGGAAGAGGGTTAAGCAGAAAGATGACCCTCAATTTTTAGGGGATTTTACTTTTGTTTGCTGAGCCTGGGAACACCAATGTGTAATTCTAGTCTCTGTGTGGAATGCTGTACAATTTTAAATCATTGTATCCATTCTCCCCAAAACACAAAGGACACCCTGTCTAGATAGTGCTATTTCCAATACAGCTCTTTCCCCATACATCTATCTCCTTTCTATTCTGAATTTCTTTTCCTCTTCTGGTTTCCAATCCTTTGATAAGGCTTTACTTTTGAAAGTTTTTTCTCCCTTTAAAGAATAGTAATCTTGTATTAATTTCTCCCTCAGACTGGGGAGAAACTGAACAAGACGTGCGATATTTATTATTGCTACCTAATATAACATGTAAAGTAAAGCTAACATTTACATTATAAAGAACAGAATCAGATATTGTAGATTTAACTTTAAAAATATACTTTTAAAAGACTTTTAAAGAGGGCAATCTGAAGTGAAGGATTAATGTTTATAATACAGCAAAGCTTCTTAATGGAAATCCATGATTTTTTTTTAAACATCATAATATTAAACTACTACTTGAAATATTGTGCTTATTGACACAAGTGCAGTTTTGGACGGAATGTTTTAGCAGTGAAATCCCAACTTGAATTCAGGAGATTCATTGAAACACAGAAAGATTGTCACTTCCTTGGAATGTCTGATAGAAAGTACAACCCTCAGAGAGATCCGTGCACAAAAGTTCAAAGGACTGGCTGCAGTTCTGACAACTTAGACACTGAAATCAAGCCCCTTACATTTCAATCTAATATTATAAATTTGATCAGATGCATAAAATTCTGTAAGGCTAATTCCCAAACTGTGGGAGATTATTCTTTAAAAGGAAATAGTGTCAACAAGTTCTTTCAGTTTCATTTATTTCTTAGTTAAGAGTAATTCAACATATTTCAAGAGATGTATACAGCAAAATATAAAGTACAGAAAAGTTAGTACGGCTTTGTAGAATGTACTATAATTAATCAAGAGAATCATTCTGGAAGAATAAGCTATGCCAAGGAGAACATCTGCTTCTGCCCTCTAGAAAACACCTGCAAAACAGTTTACTTTTCAGGAAAGATTCAAGACTGATGCTAGAAAATGAACTGCTTGCAATATTTCTTACTGCTGCTTTGTTATCGCTTTTTCAAAAGTATTTTTTAAAAAAATGTAATTAAAATATTTTCTAAACCTCCAATCATATTTACATATCTCTTACTGCTCTTCTAAAATTGGATGATATCTCTATATATACACACACATATATATGTATATTTGGAAGTGCAATACTCAGTGTAGACCCAGAAGTTAATTTCAGATCTTTGAATAGAATAGAACAAAAAAAGTCACTTAGTGTCTTCCTCTACAGATCTTCCCTCTTTTCTGGAAGGTAGTAGGGAGTCCAAGTAAGACTGAATTGCTGTTGTACTAAATATTGCAAAAATACAGCCTAAAATGTCACCCAGTTTAAAGAACAGGTAGTAAACATATGAAAAAAAAGGTTAGAGTGTTTGCAATAGTAACAATGCTTAAAAAAACCTATGTTAAAGTATATTACAAATTTTAGACTTTTGACCTATGTTAGGCCAGAAACTAAGTCTCAAAAAATGAAAGGAAAATCTTAAAACTAATTTTAAATCACAGAATAAGTTTTTCCCTTCCACAGCTGGAACTGAACACGAAATATAATAACTAGTGACCTGCTACAGTGACAAGTACATATACTGCTATATCTGCTATAATATGGTCTTAGATTACCAACTAGAAAACTAAGAATTGGAGCTCCTCTAGCACTGCTTATGAAGAGATTCCTATCTACAGAACACTTGTTTCCTTGCAATTTAAATTCTATCCTAGTTTGGAATGTTACCTCTAAAAATAAAAACTGGTAATGAGTAGATAAATGATGTTTCATATCTGCAAATTCCAATCTGACAAGTTTTTAAGAGGAGGTTACATGAGGAAATAACCCTTTAGTGGTATTAAAAATAATGTAATTTGCTGTATAACAAAATCTAGGAACTAAAAGCAGTTCAGTCCTTTTAAACAGCTATGCTAAATACCTTGTCTCCTAGAACAGATTCCTTGAACACCATTTCATACCTGGGGGTGTAACATGGAACAGGTGCTATCTATGTAATCTCACATCCTCTATTTATATTTGTTGAAAAATTTTCTCACTGACCTGCATCCTGTTTTTCCTCAACCTCTCCAGTCTGCCAAGAGCATTTGTTGCCCTTCCCATATTGGTTTGATCTGTGAAAGTAATAATACTACTTTGTATTTCATTACTGAATTATGGTAATATTTATCAGAGGGCACAGACAGATCTTGGTGCAATGCCATTTGATACAGCCTTCCAGTTTCTCATTGGCATTGATAACCCTTCCCAGTACAGTCTTTTTGACAATTTATGCCCACACTGTAGCAAGTTATTTTAAGTCATACAACTTTAACTTCACAGGATATTCTCAAAGATGTCACCAAAAATCTTACAGAAGCCAAGACATGACTCAAAGGCATGACTATCAAGCCAGAAAAGAAATTAACTTAAGTTAATGTTTCTGATAAATTCTTGCTGATCCTTGCTTATTCACTTGTTGTCTTTTAGATGACTTAGAACTACTGGAAGGATTACTCCTTGCTTTTATTCAGAAGCTGAACTTAATCAGATACTGTTAAATTAACCAAAAGATGGGCTCTTTCCACCCATTAGAAATAAAGAAACCCCACAACATCATCCATCCACCAGACTCTATAGATAAATTAGCATTTATCTGTAATGATATTATTTATTTACCAGGACAAAAGGACAAATTTATTCACAGCTTTATATTTGATCACGCAGCCAAACACTTTTTTTGTCTTCACTTTTAAAATTGTATTTTTTTTCCTTTTGGCAGCCATGACTTTTTCTTTAGTCCCCCTCCCCTTATGAGTACAGTATTTAAAAGACATACAAAGCATTTCCTAATACACTTTTACTAGCTGCATCTAACTAGGCCTGATCTTACTGCTCAAGTTTTCACTGCTGAGATTTCAAGTTTCTTCAGATTCAGTTATTAAAGAGTTAATTAAGATGGTTGCTATTACACCTCCTATTTTCTTCCATTTGAATAGATACTATAGATGTTCAACACAATTCTTTCGACAAGCTGCAAAGTCTAACTACCTTTTTACCTTTGATCTTTCCCATCCCTACTTAATAACATGGGCACTTCTAGACAACAGTGAGTCTTTTCCTTGTTTTTATTCTGCTGCTTCCTTCTCATCCTATAAGTTTATTATTTAAATTTTATAGCCAGTTTCCATCCATATCATAACACATGCAAATTTAAGGTTAATTTTAAACTTCCATAATTTGCATAAACCTGTTAAGAATTCTCTAAATCAGAATATAAAATTTTATTATGAAATACAGTTTACCTTATTAAAGTGCATTATTAATATGACCTTAGCCGCTTTAAGGGTGGGACGGTCATTAATCTCACATTCATACCCTGAAGTAGACATTTTGAAATAAGTGCACTTCTCAGTTCCTAAAGAGCATATTTCTTGTGCAGAAGAGTTACCTTCATTAAAGGCCTGAGATAATCAGTCAGAAAATGGGCATGATTGGTGATTGCAATGGAAGACTAACAAGAGTGTTTAACAACAATGCATCCAGTAAAATAACCAAAGAAATATATACATATTTAAATAGTTAATCAAAGGAAGGCTATTTATGAAGGCATAGCTGTATATGATCTATTGACATAAAATTATAGATGCTTACAAGAACACAATATTTCATGAATAGAGCTAGCAGAATAGTTAGGAAGGCCAAGGTCTCACTTAAACTGATAAAAGTGAGGTCAGTCCTTTGTAAAACGGGAAACAGCAACAGCAGGAAAAAAAAAAATCAACATGCAAGTTTTCGCACAAGAAATTATGTACAGATAACATTAGAAACCTGTTAGGTAAACACTGCATAAATCACTAAAAAATAGGAAAAAAGTGGGTTTAGCAGATAATGTAATTTAAAGGCATTAATGAACAAAATGTGTTAAACAGCTCAGAAATCTATTACAATATAACTTCGTCATAAATTTTACAGTTCATGAAATACAAAAAAAATCTATACAAAAACTTTTGGCTAAACAAAGGTTAATATCAGAATAAGCAGATTTTCCATTGAAATAATTATACATATATATTTCAGTAATATTTTTTTTTTCCTACAAAAGAAGAATCACTTACTAGAAGATGAGCACAATGTGGTAGCCTATTTGGCTTCAACCTGAAGGTCAAACATTTAATTTTTCAGCTGAAGGAACTTAAAAATTACTGAGAAAGGTTCACAAAGTAACAATTAATAAAAAATAAATCAACCAATTGAACATAAAACTATACATATAAAGTGTCTTGGTTTTTAGACAGTACATAATTTCTCATACTCTACAGAGAAAATGAGTCTTCTTCAGAAGTACTTAAAACGTGGAAAAACAATATACATGTGGTTCCCAAGGTGAAAAGGATCCATGAATCAGTGGTCAACATATAAAGTCTTACCATAGAAATATTGTAAACATTTTTCTTAATTAGCATCTCAATCATCTTTGGTATAACAGACTCCTAAGGAATCTCTGATGACGTATTTAATATCCAACTTAAATAAGAGGGAAAAGAAACTTGAAACATTTTGCATTTAAAGTATGCATCACTTAAAAATGCAGTATACATACATGATCACAGTTTAGAATGGATCTTTTAATAAAATGCTCCTGGCCCATAGATAGAAAATCTTAATTGTTCTGGCCAAAAATCCACTTCTGGAAGCTGTCTGATGGATTACAGGATGCCAAACTCGGATGGTCTCCATTTCCTGTAAGGCACATATGTAGTGCTGCATTGTACAGAGTTTGATCCTAAAATGAGTAAAAAAGGAGGAAGAAAAAGTGAACAAACAACAAGTGTGCTGTTCCCCCCACTCTTTGTTTTTCTCAAGTTCATTGCTGTTAAAGAGTAAGGCCATAAAGATAGTGAAGAGGGTGGGTAGCAAGCAAATATGAGTAGTATATGCAAGTGGCAGCTTGCTCTGTTAGCAAAATTTAAAAAAATATTTTAGAAGATACAAAACATGGATTGAATTCCAGGTGGATGCCCAGACACACACACACACACACACACACACTAAAGGATATCAACTGCTTTAAGTGACTTTACATTTGAAATAGTGAAATCATCACATTTTTATTTGGTAACTGAAAAGCTGAAATTATCTACATTTTCCTCGCAGAAATAAACTTACTCCTTTTTGGCTTCAGAATTCTGTTTCCTTGGGGTTTTCTCTTTTATTAGAAATCAAAAATTAAACTCATAAAAGACAACCAATAAAAATGCTAATTCACTGCACAGTCTAAATACCTTTTGATGCAGCCATTGCTCTTCTCCAACGGCAAAGGTTTTCTGGCCTTTGTAGTTACATTCACGAAGCTGCACAGGTCCTTTAGAAGCATGCAGACAAAGCTCCTTCTGAATGTTATGTCTAATTTCATGGTGTGCAGAATATTCAAAGTACTATTTAAATAATTTTTTTAAATGTCAGTAAACAAACACAAACAAGAGCATTAAACTAATCATTTGAAATTACAATACATAAATATATTTCTTTTATTATTCAACAATTTGAGACTGCAGAATCAATTCTCTAATTTTCAGCATACTTGCTTTAAAAGTATTTACAAAACAAAGCATTTTTTAATATTAATGCCATATATTTAGAAGTACTTAAATGTATAAACTGCAAATGACACTTGGTACATATACATTATGATGCCAGATCTCATTGCTTGCTCCCCCAGGAATCATATATAATTCAAGGAGAGAAACTGAAGAGTGGAGATAGTTGTATGGATAACTTAAATTTTGGCATTTTTAAACTTTAAAAATCTGTATTCAATTTTTGTTACTGGATTTTTTTTTTCTTAGAGCAACCAAAAAACAAATTGTCACACAGAACAATATTAATTGATGTATGTCAACTTTTACTGCTTGATCTAAACAATGAATGCTAACAATAGGATGCTGTTATGTTCTCTTGTGAGCTAGCCATTAGCAAAGTAATATAAACATGTATTTTATTATAATTTTACCATTATTTCCTGACAGCAAAGTTCTCTTAAGGCTAAGGAATTTTAGGCTATTAATTCCAGTCTTAACGGGTATTTAATTCTAACAGTTACAGATACAGCTGTCCTTTTTTTACCTCTAGTCCTACCCTACCATCCTGGTCTCTTCCTTTTCTACCTCATTAAACAGCAGAGTTCCTATAATTATATCCCACTACCACTGGTTTTTGGCACTGTATGTCAGCCTTTTCCACCATATTTTTCCTTTGACTGTGGAGACCAGGCTCTGTTAGCTCCCTGTGGCTTTCAACCATCTGTCCAACTGATCAGCTTCTGCCTCCCCACTGCCTTGGCATCAATGGGAATAGCGCTGAGGAACAAATGGGCATTTCACTGTTAAGTTTCTGCATTCAACGTAACTCCCTGAAACAGGTATTGACAGGACTGACCTGCTTAGTCACTTAGCTCTCAGACATAATAATTTATTCTAAATCTGTTAATCTGACTTAATCTGTTTTGATTTATTTTTTGAGTTCCAAAATCTCTGCAAACCCTGACGATATAACTTGAAAGCTAGGTTTAAAGCTTCATTAATTTTGGATATTGAGATGGACATGTTCCCAGCCCCAGGATATTCTAAAAAGGAAGAATGATAAACAGTTTATGTACAAATTTGAAAACTAGGTTCTCTCTTCTGCTCCTTTCTCCCATCTCACATATATGGACAAACACAACAGGTAACAGGGAAAATTTCTGCCTGCACTGCTAAAGTCTGATGAAGAACATAAACCAACTGAAAATAGAAGTATTGTAATGAGAATGGTTAAGTAAGCAAATATCCACATCTCATAACCAGCAAAACCTATATTAAAATTCTCTGAAGGCTGGTATTTAAAGGGATTTAGACTGTTATTTTATGGCAGGAGGAAAGCATAGAGTATTAGTACAGTCCAAGATAACTTAGAGACAACAGAAGCATGCAGCAGATCTCTTAATACAATGTCTTGGTGTGTTCCTGCCTTAATGACTGTGACAATGTGAAAAGGCTAATACAGTATTAATCCACAACAGAATAAAAAAAGTTCAATACTGTAAGAAGCTAATGTAACAGGGTAGTTGCTAATCTAGACAGTATTCCATCTCCCACAAAAATTCATTAGGAAAGCATCAAATAACTATGATCACGTGTCTGAGTTTTCAGTGTCATCAATGGATGGCTTTTCATAAAAAAATGAAAAATTACAACTGTATTCTAACAAAAACATTTAAACCTCTGTTGACCTTTAGTTATTAAGGATCTAAAGTTAATAAATTTTATTCATGGAATAACTCTTTAAAGCAACAGAGAGTTCATTTCTGGGCAGAGAAGGAGATGCTACTTTTATTAGTATTACAGTAGTGCCTGAAGGATTCAGTGTCTGATAGCTATTGCAAGTCATACTGTAGAAGAAACAGAACACCACTGCTGCCTCCAAGAGCTATGCATCAAAAAGAACACTTCTTGGACAAATTAAATCATATTATTCACTTGCATTAGGCAGTACAGGACAGACCACTTTGACCTCAGACTATGAGGCTGCAAGCATGATAGGGAAGGTGGCTCAGGCCTGGCCACTCGGTCTCCCACTGGCTGGATTCCCACCATCTTCCTTGACAGTGCAAGTCCTGGTGGCAGAGAAAGAAGCAATAGGAGGAAGCATAAGGAAAGGGAGGATTAAGACGACAAACATTTACAAGAAAGTAGTAAGAGTAGGATGAAAAGGTTTTGCACAGAAATATCAAGTGAATCTGTATCTCAATCTGTATGCTGAACATGAGATGTTAGAACCAGGACAACATGAAGAGCAGTATGAAATTTTCCTTGAACTATATGTATAGGAATTAACTCAAAATAAATTAAAAAAAAGGAGCAAAATTGCATATTAAAAATTAGTTCATTCTCTGAAATAAATGAAAAGCTTCAATATGCAGTTACAGCTGAATAGATCATAAAAATCAGGTACCAAATATTTTACCTGATTTCCTCCAAGTCCATGACAAGAATACATAATCAATGGTTTGCCGCCATGGTTATTTTCACCAACATCCAGACACATGCGGTTACCAATATTTTTTAACTAAAGAAAGGATATTATCAAAAAAAAAAAAAAAAAGAAAGATCACTGAGGATGGCAAAAAATTAAACCTGTGCAAAAACCAAACTTTTGGCTTAAAATTTACAGCTTTTAGTTCATTTTTAATTTCTGCTATAGTCAAATAAAAAATCTGGTCTCTCAGTTAATTTTTTCAAACTAAAAGCCTGATGTAGTCATGACGGCTGTCTGCAACCACACACTGTAAATTCTTAGGCTACTGGGTTATTATTAGGCTATAAGGTTACTGTTATTCAAATTAGAGTTTGAACAGAAACACATAAAATATTCAAAATTGGAGAAAGAGGAAGTTTTATTTGTAAGTACGTACTAGACATTCACATTCATCTCAAACTAAGAATTATGAGTAGTTAATAGTTTTTTGGTTTTAGCAATGCAATGTCTAAGTAGTTATTTGGCAGAGAAAATGCAATGGTCTTTTAAAAACATATGTATAACTATAAATACATATTTGCCTCATCATAAACCTAATTCTGAGAAGCAAACAGCTCACCAGTTTTCCTTATTACCATGAACTAAAAATTCTCTGACTTCTTAGTATATAATGATAAATTTACCTTGATAATTCAGGAAGTCTCTCACCACTGGCTTAGTATTTTTGTATTATCTTAACTGTTAGTGATAGGTAGAATGTTGCTTACCTTAGCAGGTTGTAAGATCCTGTTAAGCAAGGCTGTTAGTTAAAAAGCTTAGCTTAAATTTCATATCACCATCAAGAAAGCTATAAAATATTCAGATAGCGAGGTATGCAGAATAGATTCTATGTCCAGAGTAGTGACGAGAAAACCCTAGAGCAGTGACAAGAAAACCCTAGAGCAGTTAATGACAGCTAAAATGTAAATGCTATGGCTAAGGTAGCACAGAAGATTATGGAAGACTATAGGAAATAATTAAACTTACATATCCAGAAAACAAAGGATTCAGGTCTGGCACATATGCTTCTGGATAAACATTACTGAGATACCAAGTAAAATTTCTACACTGCAGACGCTGTCTTAACTCAAGCCTTTTTGAGATGTCTCCAAATGTTTTCTGTTAGAGGAAGGGATGTAAGGAAGAATGGAAGAGAAATATATTAGTGTTACTAATATAAATTTTGTACGTATAAATCTATGGTATTCTGTATTGTAGCATTAAACAAGTTTTAAGCTTCATTTGTTGATTTATTTTTTTTTTTAAATATCATACTACTACAGTATCGTTTGTTTTTCAGTGTCATAACACCACTGACATCCTGCCTGAAGTATTTCAAAGCACATGCAAGAAAAATACATTGCAACATGGAACAACCAGAAGTATCCTTAGTCCCAAGAGTTTTAACAGTGCCATGAAGTGGGAAAGTACAAACACCACCATACCGATGACAGCTATAGAGTTAACATCTCACAAAAAAGAGTAAGCTGAAATAATGAATTGGATTGATTAAATAATTAGCATAATAGTCAGTACAATGAAGAATCTTATGGACAAAATTCAGTTGTCTAGCTACTAAACACTCTTAGGAAATCTAATGCTATTAGTCATGGTCACAAAAAATTCTCATTCGAAGGGAGAAAAAATACCTTCTTGAAGAAAACTCTACATTCCATCTGGTAAAAGACAAAAGTTCCAGAAAATTTACAAAAATAACTAAACCAACACTCAAACACCCTGGATTTAACTTAAGTTTTTAAGCAAATAGAGACAGGATGGATATGTGTCATTGAATAAGCAATTTATTCTGCTGCTAAAGAACAGCAAAATCTGCTTTTAAAGTAAAAATACTAAATAAATTGAGACTAATGAGACATTACGTTTCTCACTCCAAAAAATAAGTTAGTTTGCATTTTCTATGCTCAGTAGCTTTTCTCATGCTCTTCTGGTAGTTCCAGTGGCCATTCAATACAAACAACCCAGGATTTTAGAGAATATATGAAAAAACCCTTAATAATCAAAAAAACCCACCACACAAACCAACACTACCACCACCCGAGCACTTTTTTCATGTGTGTTGGGGCTTCAGAATTAAGCAAACTGAACTCTCTTTTCATTAAAATATCTAGAATCCTTACATACTTCATCAATAAATAACTTTTGCTCACCAAAACTTTCAACGCAGCAAGTGTGATTTCTAATACCACCACCACCACCTACTTGTTTCACAATTTTTGCTGCCTCTGTGTTTCTTCGGTAAAATATTTCTTTATATTCATCCATCCACACTTCTGCAAGGCGTACTTGATTACGTGTGATCACTTGAGTACCTTTTGGGAAAGTATGGGGACTCTTGCTGCGAAAGACATGGCCAACAACAGAGCAAGGCATGATCTCCAACTGTCCACCACATTGCCATACCTAATAATAACATTTTTTACGTAAGTGTACTGCAATTAGAATTAAGGGGGTGGAAAAAATAGCAATGTTATTATTCACCAGAAAAAAACCCAAACCACTAGCAAGAGGACATATATCAGGCATACCATAAGTGAATTTCCTAATCAGGTAGACCCTGGAAATGTACATTTCAGCTATCACCCTGAAATATATATATATATTTTTTTAAAATCAGTTCAGTAGGCATTAGTTTGTTTTCTATGTTGGCTGATTCAGCAGAGAAGTCAACATCTAGTACTAATTTGTCCTCAGAAATCCTGTACACTGTCAGTATGGAGATCACTTCTAATTAAATAGCCAAACTTACTCTGAAAGACATTTCTATATTTTCACCTCCCCATATTTCCATTTCTTCATCATAGCTTCCAATGTGTTCAAAGTAGTCTTTTGCTATTGAAAAGAGACCTCCAGCAAAAGTAGGTGTTCTGCAAAAGGAGAAATTTACTGAGGAAGACAGGATTCAAACAGGTGGGTTTTGGTTTTTTTTTTTTAAATATAGATGTAAAAACATGGTATAACCGATCTAGGAAGTTTCATGCATTTACCAGTGTTTCACTACATTGATACATTTTCCTGGCATAGATAATACCTTAAGCAATTAAATCTGTCCTATCAAGTCTCATTTGACAGTTTTATTGTCATTTATTAACAACTGGGTTAGACTAATGACTGCTGGTATAAAAGACAGCATCAGAAAAATTATTTTTTTTCTTCCTGTATGGAGGATATCAGGCAAAGTCATTACTCCTCCAGACCAGTAATCTGTCTGCGGCCAAAGCACATACAATTATCATCAAATGCACCATTGCAACAGTCTAGTATTTTGATACTCTGAACCTTTGTTGTCATCCTTTCAAGGATGATGAATGAGGAGCAAGAATCTGTGGTACTATCTCTGCAAAGAACTGTTTATAATCCTCCTCTCCCCCCTCCCTCCTGACAAAAAAACCATATAAAAATGGCTTATTATGTTCCAAGTATATATAGAAAACAGGTAATGCAGAACATCTTAATCTTAAAGAGATTACGTTTTTATGAAAACTTTAAAATTCCCAGTGTGGTTCTTAGAGAAAGTATTACAAAAACCAAGTAAGATGCAAAGACTTCTGATCATACTCATCTGAAGAGTTAGTTATTTACAAACTGGTCTTCATTAAAAAAAGTAAACTGAAGGATTTAAAACATTATTGAAATTATGTTTACCTAATAGGATAGGTTTCATCCTTTCTTCTTTTATTTTCATGTTTAGGAAGAGACTCCCATCCAAATGACAAACTCCAATCAAAATTTCCTCTGTTGTGGCTATGCCCATAAGGAGATGGTTTACTGAATTCAAAAGTATTGAGATCTATAGAAGCAATATCAGGGCTCACAACAGCAACAGGGTTCTCAGCTATTCTTGCCAATAATGGCTCTAACCAGCCATAAAAGCATTCACCTATGGAGAAAATGGGAAGAAGCACTGTATTTTTACTTGGCTATAAAGAAGTACACAGGGAATATTTTAACATGCCTGCAACAAGCCAATATCCACTACTTTTAAACAGCATTGCTAATTATACTTTCAAGAATATAAAATAGCAATAGGAAAGATGATACACTGCTAATGTTCATCATTCATTAAAAAACTTGCAATGTTAAATCAAAGACAACAGTATTATAAACCAGACCTGGCGTAGTTACAGGTTGCACTTACAATGAGCATCCAGAAAAGTCAGGGTCTCTCCTGTTGCTACGGAAGCTCCCAACAACCGTGCAGTGATTAGACCTTTTCTCTCCTTTTGACGGACTACTTTAACTATTTGAAATTGTTTCACATACTCATCTAGTTTGTCATGCAAGTATTCTAGAAAGAGAAATCAGTTTCAGGATATTCAGTGTACATACATGCCACTGCCTAAAATTTTACATTATTAAACTAAAGATTCACACTAATCCCACGAATGACCTCAGCATCAAAGCAGTAAACAATTCCTGACTGCTCAACATTATTTTTAGGGGCTGAGGTTTTTTGGACATGGAGGTGTAGGAAGAGGTGACTGGCAAACAACAGGAGATGGAACACTAAAAATATTCTAAAAGAGAAAGGACATGTACTAGTACATCTCTTCTGCAGTATTCACACTTTGAGTACCAATTCAAAATCCATCTTCAGAGCAAACAGCTCATGTACCTATTTACTCAAGTTATCTGCAGAACATGCAATTTTTTCCTTAATGACAGCACATTTTAGTTTTCAAAGACTGTAATATTTAAAACAGCAACAGAATCTACATAAAAAACTCTTTAAACATGCAATTTGAGAAACAACCCCACATCCCTCATTAAACATCCCACATCATCTTCCTTCCTCTGCTCATCCTTAGTATTAAACTGTACTACTAAATATACTTCACATCCAAGTGTGTCAGTATGCTAAATACAGACTTGCAAAAAATGTAAATACATTAATATAAGCACGAATGTATAGACATGTTCATCTAAAGGAAAACATGTAAATTTTTTTGAACTTGCATTTGTGATCACACTCAGTATACATTCAATTATTTTTGGCAGTCAACTTGAGTACTGAAGGTTATTTTTCCATTAAATAACTTTACTTTCTAGAAGACATTTCCCTTCATATTAATGAAATTAATTTGCATAAAGACAATCACTATGATAAAATGCAAATTGCTACAAGCACTGGCCAATTTATCCTTGGATACTTTGTTCTATAAATTGTAATTGGTTTGAAGCACAAATTACAGAGCTACTTGTCATGCGAATAGTTATGCAGTTTAAGCAGCACTAGAACTGGAATAATAAGAAGTGGGTTTTAAAAAGCTTTTAAAGGATGAGAACTTCATATCTGACAACCTTGAAAAAAAAAAAAGATGGGGAAGAATTACTTTATAGAAAAAGGAAGGAAAAAACCCACTTTGAATACTGTTAGACATGTTAATGGCAGTAAAGAGATAACCTCTTTTAACCAATTTATCTGCAATCCTAACACATTTTAAAAAAACAAACAAGAGAAAATAGAGACTTCTTACCATCCATACTGGCATCATCCACCAAAATAATCTCCTTTAGCAGTATGGCAGGAGATGTATACATCACGCTGTGAACAGTTCTGAGCAGAGTAGACCATGCTTCATTATGAAAAACTATTATAATACTTGTGGTTGGCAATGGTGGGCAACGCTTAAACTTTTGTTCAATACATCTATAGATTAGAAAGCGTCAAATGTTACAAAATGGATAAAAAGGTTTGACTCAAACTCTTAAAAGAAACCCTTCTCTTTCTAGCACAAAGCTTTATAAGTATGGACATCAAATATTTCAGATTCTTCACTTTCTATCCCACTTTTGAAACACAAAGGCAGGTGCTCCAACTGGAGAAGCTGTAGAAAATACTGTTTAAAAATATGATGAGTAAGAATTCCAGTTGAACAACAGACACTTCTGCTTATGTCTCACAAACATTTGAGTACATTTCATGTAGCAGACAACTCTTCCTCAGGAAAATACACATTATTCTACTGACAGCAGCAGATACTGAGCTGCAAAATCAGTTTAAGTCACCATTACTGTTGGAACCCAAAACTACAAAGAAGAATATTTATTAGAAGAATGCAGCGTTTGCAAGGAGAAATAGAACAGTTCTAATTCAGAATTCCAAAATTTCGTAGAAATACCGTATAATCCTTAGGGCAGCATATCCCACGCAAGTGAAAATTTTAAACCCATAGTCTTTCAAGATTGATGTATTCTAAACATAACTTTAAATCCAGTTGCAAGTCGACAACACTTCTGTATTCATAATCTGCATACTTACTGTTTATTGCCTGTCAACTTTAGAGACTCCCCAAGGTAATTATCACAGCCATGCCTCACATAATACAGAGGCAAAAAAACTCACCAGTTATACTCTAGCAAAGGTTATTGCGAGATGCATATGCAATGTGATATTCATACTACCAGCAGCAGCTCAGTAAGGTTAGTCACTTCTGACACAGATGAGAACATATAATCTGACACTGACAGACTGCTCAGAACCAAAACCAACTCTACCCAAGTCCAACACTCTTCATTAAAAAAAATTTTCAATACTCCAATATTGCTGAGCTCTTCCATTGCCTTGTTTAACAGTTTAAAATTCCTAATTTATTTAAATTATGCTGGTGGTTTTATTAACACTGAATAAAAAAAAAAAAA